TGATGATGGATTAATCCGCGTTAATCCGTTAATTTCGACAGCCCTAGTTTAAATGTTCTTCATATTGGTAGAACTATGTGTGTTAGCGTAGCTATTTTTTTAAACCTCTCAAAGTCACCCCAGTATTTTTTACTAACCATCCAAAATAGACGTATTTTAATCAACCACTAGCATCCCACGTTTGGCTGATAAATACTTCATCAAATTATTCAAGTTATATTTCACTGGTAGCTCGCATAATTAATGAAAACATGGAATGGCTGGGGTTTGGCAGGGGAAGCAGTGTTCTTGTAGCAATCCACAACGAATCAGTGACTTTTTGATGAAAGGAAATTCTTGTTTTTTATTGTAGCTCTGTTCGTTTGCATATATTATACTATCAAAAATTGTTTTTCTGAGCAGGTATACACTTTCTACATAGATAAATGGTATTACGTATTTACTTTGATTGCCTAAGACTTGTACCCAGTACTGTATATATGTATTTGTACACATGCATTGTGTGTCAACCCCACAAACAGGCATACACACCAATAAACCCTAATATGACATTTGTGTAATTGTTTCACTGATCGATTCTTAATTAGAAAAATAAGCATAGGCCCCTTGCTGACTACCTCTTCCAGCAAAATCAGCGTCCCAACATACACGACACACATTACGCATTTAAAACAGAGCAAGATAAAAGCACATCATCAAATGCAGTCTACAGCTATCAAAACATTCATATATAAAATGTAAATGTGACTATTGAAATTAACATTCAAAAGTATTATGAAAGTGTATACACAAAAGACATGGAACATTTTTGTAGCTGAGTATGGTTGAGGTGCATGATTAGTTATTTTGGCTGTAACTGGACTCATGACAAACCATTCAGTCATATTTGCCAATATTTGTTTGAGGCCTCTCAAGTTAACGCCATTCAGGAAGTCATCAAATACAATGTTGGTCTTTTCTAGACAGTTGGCAGGTTTCTGCTGTCGGGTCAAGCTCAGATTGACCCGGGCAGGAACGTAATGGGAAACTTAGATAATGGAGATCAGCACTGTACTACTGATCGTTATATTAAACAGGAGCAGAGCTTCCAGGCACCGTATCGAATAGCAAAAGTTATTTGCGTGTGTATGTCTCAGGGGTATGTGAAGAGAAGCATTCCGATGTACCTGTATGCCTTTAAACAGCAAATAAAGGGTTAGGGTAGCAAGCACCAATGACAGCATTAACTTAGCCTGCGAACAACTATGTGGTCAGAATCCACTCTGTGACTATAATAATGCAAGAGACTAGTGAGGTAGTTTGCGTGTACTCTACATTTGCCGTGAAGGAAAAGGATGTTCTTTTTGTGCTACTTGGTATTCTGCAATACAGGTTTAGTACTATAGATGGCAGTATTGTACAGGCATATTGGTCCATGGTAAGGAATATTTAAAAGTAACCGCATCTGAACGTGGAACGTCTGTGCTTTTAATGAAGTGGATCACCTGTCGCTGGTCGTTCAACTCCAGCCCAGACATTTCAACATTGTATTCTTTTCCTTTATAGATGTAGAAGATAAGATTCACTACTGATGACTTAATACTAAAAAAATGGGATTTTATTGGTGGTTAACTTCATTTCTGCAAGATTTAATAGTACTACTTAACTGTTCTTGTTACGAATTTATATGCACAAATTTCATAGCATTTTTATATTTATGAGAAGTAACTGATATCAAGTACCATCATGATAGCTCATGTACACTAGCAGCCAAAATTGTGGAAACACTTCCAACCGTTCCAGTTCCATCAATGTCTAGAACAGGGGTCACCAACCTTTTTGAAACTGAGAGCTACTTCACGGGTACTGAGCCATACGAAGGGCTACCAGTTTGAAATGCCCTCCTAAACTTATCTAAACTGCATGTATAATAAACATTTTTTTTAGATATTGTCATTTTCAAATCTATATAAATGCAAATGTGATTAAAGAAGAATAGCAACAGGATAAAATTTAATTTTAGACGCTGCTCACTGTGAGCTGTGCTATTTTTAGAACAGGTCCGCGGGCGACTCATGTGGTCCTTGGGGGTGTCCTGGTGCCCGCAGGCACCATGTTGGTGACCCCTGGGCTAGAGATCGCTGAACTTTTTTCCAGTTACTCCAGTCAGTTATTTAATTGTCCAACGTATGATATTTGTAAACATTCTCGGATTGTTTATAAACATTACCGCCAATATTCGTGTAGTGATTTTTAAATTGTAATGCCAAAAAAGCTAGGTGTTTTCCACAATGTTGCCCGCTAGTGTATGTCACATAATTGTCCCTTTTGTCCTTTAATTCCACATCATGTTTCTAAATCCAGGTGTTGACTTCAAAGTGAAAACCATTGCAGTCGATGGAAACAAAGCAAAGCTTGCAATTTGGGTAAGAGGAGACTGGAGTGAGGTGTTTTAGGGTAACTGTGGGGTGTGGTTATGTTTGGGGGGGTTGGGGAGGGTCAGGCCAACCTCCATATGTGTGTCTTCTAATTATAGTTATATTTCAAATTTTATAAAATATTTTTGTGCAGTTGTAGTATTTTTTGTACTTGCACTCTTGCATTATTTTCAGGCTCGTTTTTGGCACGTATTTGTAGCTGTGGTTGAAATCATAAATTTTTCCAAATGATAATCTAAGCGTTTTCCTGTTCAGAGTTCATGACACTGTAGTCGTAGCTCTCAGCCAGTATCTTCATGTGGAGGTTCTCTGTTTTATGCAGTATGCTTTAGCCAATTAAAGGGTTTCCTCCTCCAGGACACAGCGGGACAGGAACGGTTCCGAACTCTGACGCCAAGCTACTATCGAGGGGCCCAAGGCGTCATCCTGGGTGTGTGCGCATTTACGAAAAACCCTTGTCATCGCCTGTAGCGTTTATTTTCCCCCAAAATCTGTTTTAAATGTTTAATATATATTTCTGATGATGATTATTGTTGTCGTTTGTTTTGTTGTTTTTTTATTATCAACAACAACAGTAATGATAATAATTTTAGTAATTGTCGTATAATCGTTGTTTATGGAGAATGTTATTTTTTTGTCTCTTCCCTCTTTTTAGTTTACGATGTTACAAAACGTGATACATTTACCAGGCTTGATAACTGGCTAAATGAGTTAGAGACATACTGCACAAGAAATGACCTCGTGAAAATGCTGGTTGGAAACAAAATTGATAAGGCAAGTGTGTTGTGTATGTTTTACTCATTTTCTGTAAACGACCTTCTGCCAGGAAAATCAGAAGTAGCATGGCTTTCTCTCAGTAAAACTTTCCTCTCAGATAAATATCTTTCTTCGCCCTCTGACTTTATCCTGACAGTAACAAAGTGCTTAATGAAATGAACCTTAATTTTAGGCTATTTTTCTAGCAGTTCATTCAGAATTATTTTGGAAGATTTCTGATGTTGCACTGTTGAGAAAATATAGACTTTGATAATTTGCTGTCTTTTCCCCACCATAAATAGTTTTCGTTCTATTTTTTTTCTGTTTTCTTGAATTTTCAGCGGGAGCTCACTTCAGCCTTTTTTGTACAAAGTAATGTAAGGCTAGAAGAAAAACAGACAGAAATAACAGCCACTTTTTCTGTCATTGTTTTAGGAAAACCACGAAGTAGACAGGAACGAAGGCCTCAAATTTGCAAGGAAACATTCCATGCTTTTCATTGGTAAGAAAGTAGTTTTCTCTTGTTTTGGCTGCCTGTCATTTGTTACTACAGAGGGATCAGTCAGTGTAGCTGCTTTTCCAATTGCCTTTCTAACCCTAACGTGGAGTATTGTGCTTGTATTGCATCAGCAATATCCAGCCTCTTATATGATTCTCCTAAACTGAATTATAGTTCACCGGGCTTTTCCTTTTAAGGCTGAAAATAAAATTAAAACAACCCTTTTTAACGGATGCGGCATGTGCTAAATCTTCGCTCAGATGACTCGAACAAGAAATGGTGCACTTCCTGTCACGAACTGCCTATGACCAAACACTTATTGGATGCATGTGCTGCGACTGCCACGGCCATAAGACGTTTTCCCGCAGCCCTAATCTGAAGCAGTGTCAGCCTCTCGTTCTCTGTTGCCACATATAATGCTAATAAGTGTAGCTCCTGTCCCAAATCGACCCTTCCCTAACCCACCTTAAGACCTCCCAATACCAACCCAATTATTTTCCCAGTCCCTTTCTGGAAAAACCCAACTATCCATAAACTAACTTGAACAAGTACTTCAGTATAGTACATCAACCAATACAAGACAACCCAATACTACCTCAACCTAAAATCACCTCACAGATAACTGCCCCCACCCCCCACCACTACCACAACCCCCCCGATACACCCCCTCCTTCTCTGTCCGGAACCTAACCTTTTAAAAATTCATCCACATGCAGAGGCAAGTGCAAAGACTCGCGACGGGGTGCAGTGCGCATTTGAGGAGCTGGTCGAGAAGATCATCCAGACTCCGGGACTTTGGGAGAGCGAGTCGCTGAGTCCGGGTTTGCGGCTCTCCCACCAGGACCAGCCGAAGGGGAGCTCCTGTACGGGCTACTGCTCCTTGGCCTAAGTGCAAACCGCTCCATTTGTTGAAGGAAAGCATTGTTATCTTTATCATTATTCAATGTTCAATTATCCTACCCCAGGCCATACTTGCTGTGGTTGCACCATGTTGGGGTGTAAAGGGGAGTTCGCCATTAAGAGATGCTGCTGTTTGCACATTATAAGCTTCACTACTTGAGTTTGTTTAGGATTTCGTAAAAGGCATGTCTACGGCTGGCAGAGCTTGGGTCAGGGATACCGGTCAGGGATACAGGGATACGGTCAGGGAACAGCTGGTCTGTTCCCTGTGTGTCATCAACCCCTCCACAGTGGAGGGTTGGCAAGCACATTTTGTTGACGTCTTAGCATCGCTCATGATGGAAGCTAGCTGTTTAACCACTAGGTTTTTCAGAATAAAAGAATACTTGATGACAAGTCAGTTATAATGGCAGCAAGGGAATGTAGTTATAAAGGAGATATACCTCACAGTCGATTAATATGTAGAGATTGTTGATACGCACTGACTTTTGTTTATGGAACCTGCATCAGCAAAATTAAATAGCCAAAACTGTCGCTAGAATGTTGTTTTTCCCAGAATTTCAAGCAAAAACTGCTCTTACAAAGTTTTCTTTTTTTTAACCCATGAAAACCCAGCTGGTTTCTGTCTGGTTAAGGAAATATGGATTATGGATATTTAACAGCCCACTTGTTCCCAGAATCGCCTGCTGATGTTTTTGATTTGTGTCTCAAGCATGGGAAAAAATCACTGATGTCTTCAAATGTCAGATATGTTTTATAAATTGCCAGTTTTCCCTCAGGTTTTCTAATACATGTTCTTATGTAGTCTTCTGTTTCCTATATTCATGCTTAAATGATCTGTAGCTGACCCACGTACAGCCTTGAGAATTGGATGTCCTTTTGGATGTACAGGCCCACATTGTTTGGCATTCCACTGATTGTTTTGTTTTTAAGAAACAGGTGTCCAGTAACCGATGTCTGCTGCTCCAGCAGAAGTGCACTGGGTGCACTGCTTTCCGTTTTAACTCCCTCTTTCGTTGCAAAGATTCTTGTTTTACGGCCCTTTCCTTTTTTCATGTTTAATGGTTTTTAGTGCCACACTAAGTCATTCATGATGAGAATCAGTACAGTGGTGCATTCGATCCTTTCAGTCAAAGCCCTAAACCAGCAGTGGGCAATCTTATCCTTAAAGGGCCGGTGTGTACGCAGGTTTTTGGGATAACCTGTAGGTCAGCTGTTCAAACCCAGATGTGAGGACTCTTCAGCCAATCAGTCCTCTAATTAGTAATCTAATTAGGGAGCTGCAGCGAAAACCCACATACACACCGGCCTTCTGCGGATAAGTTTGGCCACCCCTACCCTAAAAGAACTGGCCTTAACATATGTCCTTAATATATTTTATTCTTGTCTTTATTTCATAGTATCTATGTTAATAAATGTGTTTTTATACTTAGTTCACACATTTTCATTACTGTCTTGGTATTTTTCTATTATTTTTGGAATTTAGGAAGCAGTAATGGATTTTTTTTTTTTTTACCCCAGTAATGGTGACTGTTTGTTGTTGGCTGAAATGTGTATCTTTTGTGCGTGTGTGTATGTGTCTACGTAGATGCAATAATATTTACTTGAAGCAGTATTACCTAATTCATTATAAAAATTTAGAATAAATCCAAAATGTGGGTTTTTCAGTAAGAAATAACTGTAAGTAGCTTTAATGTGTGAAAACTTCGTGCCAGCCAAGTATTTTATAAGTCTGCAAGACACTTACCCAAAGTATGTAATAATATATGAAAGCAATTTACTTGGGCTACTGATTTTAATCTGGTAAGTAACACGGTCCAAAGGTGGACTTAATGTTGCAATAAAAAAATTCAAATGGCTGCCGAATAGAAATCTTTAAATACATCATGGCTTCATTCTCGTCGCAGGTATTTCGGCTGATTCCAGTACTTGTTATTTTGGCATGCCGTTGACGTTTCACGGTCTATCTTCAGCTGGTTGTGGGGTACGCTTATTTTTGGGAAGTACGCTAAGAGAGCACGCGGGCCAAACTACTGTCCAAAAGCTGCTCAGCATTCAGACCTGTGATGAATTTAAACAATATTTTGGACAGATGGTCAGGAAATGAACTGTTCCAGGAACTCCTTGACTTGGCTGCATTGGGCAACAGGAGTGCGGGGCGGGATGGGGGGGGGGGGATCAGGGGAAGTGGAATTCCAGAGCGCTTGTGAATGTCTTGGCCCTGGACAGAAGTGGCAAATAGGTAAACGGCAGCAGATAGCATGTCACTGTAAGGCCTGTTCATCAACAAGACGTGATGCTAAATTGTCTCTCTTACACACAGAGAGACCATCGATCATCTTGACATTCAGCGTGCCAACAATTTTGCACCAGATCACTTGCCACACATCAGTTTCTAGAGCAATCAGCTTTCAAGTATTAAGTATCCAACCTGTTGCTTCCACGATGTGCTGTTATAAGAAATCGTTTATGCATTTTCCTACTTTCTCCAATGATCGAAAAGAATGAGCACGGATTTTTATTCACGAGCTGACTACTTCCAAACACCCAAAAATTGTTTCTTTGAAATGTTACTATATGGAGTGAACAAACTGGTTGAACTGGTTGTCCTCGTCCAGGTGACTGGGGCCTGAAACGAAACAGATACAGCACACGGTATAAGGTCTGGATGAAGCCTGGATGTGTCGCACATACATGCACGTATGCTTCAGGCAATTTACAGGCACCAGTTAGCCTAAGTGCACGTCTTCAGACTGCAGCAGAAACCTGCATGACACAGAAAGAACATGCAGACTCCACACGTTCTGAGAGGAGGCAGAACTCACACCTCCAACCCTGCAAGTGTGAGGCAACACTGTTACATTTTTTAATGTTTTTTTCCTGATTTCATGCTTTGGTTAAGTTTGAACTAGGTCACATCTCCCATCACTGTGCTTTTAGATACAAATTAGCTTTCATGACTGACGCTCTGGTTGTTGCATGGGGCAAAGCGATGGTCACATGGACCAGAGGTTGGTTGCCCTTGTCCTCTTATTAAACAGTTTTCCGTACACTAAACTTACTTTACGTTTTCCATCCATTATATTTATAGAAATAGATCTTTACTGTTCACTATTTATTTCCATCTGCCAGCAATGTGCTCTGGCTCTACATTTTTCATGTAGAAACTTTTTTTTTTTTTTTGCTTCCATTAAAATGTTTTTCTACTTGGAATTTATAGCTTTCCGTTGGATCGCCTTGTTGGACGGAGCCTCGAGTCATTGTTAATCTGCACGGTCTCAATAGTCTACTGTATGTCTGGAACACTTTTTTCGTTTCCTACTGTTTTGGAAGGTTTTTGTGACACCTTCTGATGAAAAAAACAGCAAAATAAATATTTCCTAACAAGGAAAGCACAGACCATGAGGTAAAAATCAGTGCTTTGTTTACCTAGATGGTATAAGCTTATTAAAAATGACAGGTGCTTGCTGTTTTTTTTAACTGTACATAATAAGTACATACATATTGTGGGCAACAGGGGGAAGTAATCAGCATTTAAACTCCCAAAACAGCCGCAATCCACACCCTCAATCTCATCCTTATTCGTCAGGTTTACATGCAGTGTCCATTTTCAGCTCCAGCATCCTGAAGATGGAAGTTACTAACTGCTCTGAGATTGAAGGTGAGGCCAGTTTGTTTTGCTGGGTTTGAAGGTCATCGCGTTCAAAAATGTGCAGCGATGTTTCTGTTTTGTCTCTGCCGCGCAGATGCGGCCGTCGGAATGAGCCGGCGCTTATATTGTGTCACGCTGGGAAGCGATTCGGCAGCTGCTGACTCGTGTCGTTAAAACAGTCCCCGACCATCATCCTGCCTCTCCTGAGATTGGAAATCAGACACCGAAGCCACAACCCTGCAGCTTTACACTGGCGAGAAAGCGCGTTTGCGTCATCGTGGATAGGGTTAGGGGTAGGGGTAGACTTAGGGTTACGTTGTAATATCACACTGTTTATTTTGTTAGCAGACATCCTTAACGAAACTTAGACGGCTTCTGATTTTTCCTCACAATTTTAACCTGGATATTTTACTGAGGCTGTTATACCCTTTGACTTCCACCTCTCTGTTTTTGACTCTACGAACATTCCTGTACCGCTGCTTACCTTATAAGCTGTTGATGAAAATGGCTTAAATTTTACTGCGAACTTTAACTCTTTATGATGGAGGAAATTGTCATCTCATTCAGTTGATATTTCTGTTCTGTCATTCTGTAAGGGAAGGTGATTAAGAGTTCATTTCTTTAGCTGTATGTTAATCAGTTTTGCTGTAATTGTACCCTGATCCTAACTGGCACTGTGTGTATAGTGTAACCTTAGAATGAAAACCAGATGTCACTCAGTATTCATACTTCTTTCCCATAACAATGGCTGTAGATCAGATGAGGGTAAATAGACTCCGGGACAGACAGAACAAGTGAATCCTGATGACATCCAGACCAAACAATCACTATCACACTCTTCGCGTGAATCTGTGCAAGACCGTTTGTTTCAAAGCTGGGGACTGAATATGAAAGGACATGCTGAGAAGATTAATATAACTATGAATAATAATATATATATATTATGCAATATATATATATATATATGAAGCAGTGTGTTTATATTTAAAATTTCCTATCAGACATTACTGAACTGTCTGAATATCTTAATGTACCCCTAATTCCCAAATTAATTCCTTAAATATTCCAGTCTTTCAGTCTATTATAGTATGTGTTTAATTCCTAAAGCTGTGAGTTGAAAGTCGTGTCAAGCCGTAAACTCCCTTTTCCAAATGGAAGTAATTTGCTCGGAGGCCTTGCTAACGCCGCCCTGATTTCATTTCTGTGGGTGTCATTTCTAAAAAAACACCGCACTAATGGGGCTTACAGAAATGGAAAGCAATGAAGGGAATACGCCCCCCTTTCCTTGTACAAAAGTGGGTGACAGTTCATTTGTGCCTTAATCAGACCCTGGAGATACACCGAGAGTAGTGTGACCACTTTACTCCATGTCAGGAGGGACACCATGAGCCAGGACAGGATTTGTAAACTACCATTTCAAATAAAAGGACCTGGATTTCACTTTAGCACTGAGTTCTTGCTGTATTCTGATTGGTCAGTCTCATATAATCATGCGTGTGTCACTGACGTTAATGTGAAAGAGCTGGATGAGTCTTTCAATCAAGGAAACTAACCAGTAAACCAGTAGAATGGAACTAATTAGCCAAACACAGGAGTCTCTCGGTTTTAAAGTAGTTTGTAAAACTTGAAGTAGCTCATAGTGTCCTGACATGGATTAGGTGGTGAGGCTACCTGAGAGGGAGTCTGCCTTTGAGAACGGCTGTGATTTGGTAATAACTGTATCTGTGTATGTGAGCAGTCACACCTTGCATTGTCACTGGGGGATGGTGTGACTCTCACTGGAGATTAGCAGTTTCACACAGATCCAGAGTGAGACCTGATATTGCAATCCAGAGTGAGACCCGATATTGCAATCCAGAGTGAGACCCGATATTGCAATCCAGAGTGAGACCTGATATTGCAATCCAGAGTGAGACCCGATATTGCAATCCAGAGTGAGACCCGATATTGCAATCCAGAGTGAGACCTGATATTGCATCTTCTTACTCCGCTTGCTGCCAAGCTGCATTCCTGTAACAGCAGGCTGGCTTGTTTTTCTATTCTGTAGATGGTGTTTCCACTGTGTTGCTCTTGCCGTCCGCATCAGCGACCCTCTGCCCTGATTTCCTGGCGCTGTATTTTTATGTCTGCCTTTTCTTTCTGATGGACAGAGGGGATAGTTCCATTGTTTCACATCTCAAGGTTTCTGCGTTCAAATCAGCTCCCAGGTCTGTCCTGGTGGAGAGTGAACATTTGATCTACTGTATTGTGTGCGCAGGGATGGAGATGTAAGCATCTGAAAGGATTGAGGCAGTTCATGTTTTTGTTTAAAATACTTGCTTTATTTCTCTGTTTTCATTTACACTTGCTTTTTTGATTAGTGTTATTCTTTTTAAAGGTCCCAGACCAGTTTTCCTGTTGTGGTTTGATTGAATCATGTCTCTGGTTTGTCTTTGCCGCAGACATTTACTCCACATCCCACCACTCAGCTTCACCTAAGCACTGCAGAGACACACGGGTCACGGGGTCTCAGGGGATTCCCTCCAGAGTATTCCCCTACCTTCAGATTTCTCTCAACCCAGCCCTCGGGGACTCCTAGACCAGGGGTGTCCAACTCCAGTCCTGGGGGGCTGGAGCCCTGCACATTTTTGGGTTTCCCCTCATTTAACACATCTGATTCAACTCCTTGTGCTAATTACCACACGGCTCTTGAGCTGAAGCATTTATGGTGGAACAGGGAAAGAACTAAGTTACACTGGGCTCCGGCTCCCCAGGACTGGAGTTGGACACCCCTGCCCTAGATAATCCACGTGTTTTGCTCCCTTCCTGCTCTGGGGGTCCCCGAGGACCGGTTTGTGAAACCCTCCCCTACTGAGTCCCCTTTGCTGTCCGTAAAAATTTTAAAAGAAGTTATATATTATTTTTGTCGGTAATACTAACATCGTCCTGAACGTACACTGCCGCTGAATTAAATTTTTCATTCCTATGTCCTGTTTACTAATGGATCATCATACCAAATCATTAAAATGGGATCTGAAACTTGCTAAATAGCTTTTGTCCTGGAAAAAAAAATAATTGTAACATCCATCCGTTTGTTTATCTATCTCCCATAACCAGTTATTCAGTTTCGGATCCCAGTGAGCCTGGAGCCTATCCTGGGAAGTAGAGAACGTGACGGAGACACACCCTGGATAATTCTGAATGCTGGGGGGAACGCATCAGATATTGTCTGGGTGGGGGAAAAAAATGTAATTGATCCTTATAGCTCCCGATTATCGCTGCTCCACACAAACCAGGCACTTGGAACTATACATATAAAATTATAAGAAAAGAACTGCCTTTCCAATACATAATGAAGTGAAATGCTGGCCAGGTGCTGTTTCATTTGTCAAGATGTTTATTCATTGTAAAATTCACCTTTAAAAATTCATATGCAAGCAATTTCCAGCATAACGTGATACTATGCACTTTAGCACAGGATATGAATCCAGTCTCATTTGCATTCACATAATTTAACAAAGAAAACAAGTCATCAATTTAAACTTAAACCATTTAAAACTTAAGCTTAATTTATAGTTTTTTTTAATAGTATGAACAATGTTGTTGCTTTAAAAGACTTATTTAAAAAGATCTTCTTGTTTTTCATTAGTCTTCTCCTTGCAGGACAATGCATTTGGGTGCAGTAACATGTGAATGATGCTTATCTCAGACTATGAGGAGTAATGATGTGAATTTTGACAAATTGTTAACAGGTTTGAAAACCATACTCTGGAACTGGCCCTACTTCGCCTTTCAAAAACAGAATGTGATTTCAACTTGGCATGAACAAAATCCTAGGAAAAACTTGCATAAACAATATTCACAACACTCAGTTTTCCCCCAAATTCTTACTGACAATAATGCTCTGAAATGGAAATTTTTAGTAATCGCACATTTCCCCGTTTCGGTAAGTGTAAAATTTATTTAAAAAGCAGCCAGTTGACGTACAAATATTACTCAGGACATTACTGGCTTTGTTTATATTGTCATACTGCAGAGCTTTATGTAACTATACACAACAGATTCAACAAGTATACTATGCACATAACAGATTTCAAAAGTAAAAGGTTTCTGCTACAGAGTAATTGCAATAAAAAACAATAAAAGCTGGGACTTCAACACTTGGAGATGATGTAAATCTGGCTTTTTCTGGCTTTGTGAAGGCCACTGAGCACTGGGCTTCGACCGGCACTGAGCAGAGAGAATCATCTCCTTTGAAACTATATGTACCTTTCTCTGCAGATACCTGAGATGAGGCTGTTAGCTTTTGTAGAAGACACAAACTTAAATAAAAGCTCTTATGACAAAGTCACTCATAAATTATTGGAGGAAAATTCAAGTGACTAAGAGCATGTTCTGTTTTTAGAGGAAAACCTTACAAAGAAGCCCAATTTTGATCTTTCTAAAATATAAACTAAAATATCCACAAAAAAAACTGGGAAACCACAACAAATCAGCAACAGTACAGTAAAACATCACAGAGTTTTCTGTACTTCTTTACTGTACATCACCGAATGAATTCACAGCTTACTGTGGGAAATCCTACAAGTCCATGCTAAGAAAACCATGTGACTTGGGGACGAACCACAGCTATTATTCCGTGGGGGGAGCTTCCTTTTCAGCAGGGTAGAGGGTAGAGTGGAAAATGGTGAGAGATGGCCTTTATAAGACGTGTTTCGGTAAGGAAGAAGAAAAAAGAACATGTGCGTGAAGGACAGCCCAGCCGTACAGCGAGTGGTGAATTTAAGGGATGCAGGTGGAACATAACAAGGAGGGCGATGATGTCACTCCCTCTCCCCACCTGACATTGGGCTGTCCCCGACAGACTCTCTGAGGCAGACTGTACACATCCACCGCTGACCTGACCGCCTGTTTCCCAAGTCATACCACATCAAAGGGCATTTCAAACCCTACCATTGCTCTATGGTGCTCAACTATAGTTAATTACCATTTCAAAAGGATGCATCTTTTTGACGTAAAAAAATATGCTCAAAATATTTTTCTTCTCTAAACACCTTAGTGATCTTAAAGTAGATTATATATAAAGATGTAAAGGGGTAGGGTTCAGTGGCTTTACTCCTCTGTCATTGTGGATTTTATACAGGTTTTAGCTGTCATATGAATTATTTGTTTCATATGTGTGATATGCTACTCTTCCGCAGTCCAAGTACATGGAGCTGAGGTCAATCTGTGTCTTTATATTTCAAAAATCTGTGTGTGATGGACTTCATGGGACCATCCTGTGTGTGTGTGTGTGTGTGTGTGTGTCTGCCCTGGGATGGACTTCATTGGACCATCGTGTGTGTGTGTGTGTGTGTGTGTGTGTGTGTCTACCCTGGGATGGACTTCCTGGGATTATCCCATGTTAATCTTATTGTCCAATGTTAGCAATCAGTTGATTTTTATACAAAGAAGAAATTTTAATAAATTTAAATGCAATAATTTTTTATACTAAAATTCCTTCTTTGGGATATATGGGGATTTTAAACGTCACAGGCTAATTCTACATTGAATAGTTGGGCTGTTGTGTTTCTGAGAGTTTATTAAGAGCCTAAAGAAAAGGACTTTTAAAATTAAATTCTAAAACAATATGAATGATAAACATCTTTTACCTAAACATTTGACATGAAAAGGCACTTCTGGCATTGTAAAAATACTAATTTAGGAATAAAAAAAAAAATAAGTTAATATATAGTGTTTTGTTCATAATAATGCAATTAACATCTGAACAATTCCTCTTACATGAACACTTGTTTAATGTACAAGGGGTGGAAAAAAAACAAAATGCTTCTCAAACCAAACACGTGTTAAAATTTCTGCACCACGGGAAGTTTGACAGTCTTTACTTCTGATATATGGGAGGACTTCTGGATGATGTGGCTGGTCGTTCCCGAATCGCCGTCCTTTCCCTGCGCCAAGTTTGTCAAGGCCATGGCTGCGTGGATCTCCTTCCAGTATGTCTTATCTTTGTCCCTGCCCTTGTCCCGAAGCCCGCTGCGATGAAACAGAGCACCGTGAGGTTCTGCATCTCTGACACTTCTCATTCACTGTTAATGGTTCGCCCCTCATTAAGTCAGTACTTAACTATGTGGAAGGAATCGAGTGTGAACTCACTGGTCGCTTCTACTGGAGCCGTGGTCCGAAGTCTCTAAAAGAAAACGCCAAAATGTTATTGTGTTAACATCAAGGTAAATGAGGATAAATTACAGAAAGCTAAGGAGTTCTGTTTGTTTAAGGCAGGGGTCTCCAACTCCAGACCTGGAGAGCTACTATCCAGTAGGTTTTCTATCCT